TATGCTTGGGTGGGTATAAGCTTTGAGCCTTCCCTGAATTCTTAAACTGGAAGTGTATTGGTAGTTTAGCTATAAAGAATTTCACAGCTTGACTTTGCTACACATTTGCAGAGCACTATTTCCAAGTTATGACTACAGAGTGAAACTGGATTTTTTACTTAAATGTGCCCTGGCCAAAAAACTTATTATCGTATGCAAAGTGTTTTAAGGGTAGAGATATAACCCCAGCATGGTAATATCCTCCTAAATGTTCCAAACTACTGGAGGCTTCTCCCATGACCCAAGATTTCCCCGGTCTGGCTTAGACCAGATATTGAATGCTATGCAACTTCCGCTTATACCTTATCTCACCAACCAACTTCCCGAAGCAGCAGTTTGACTGGCAGTCCCAGTCATATGAACCAAGCATGCTGGGTCTTCACCACAGGCAGCTTGCAAAACTCATACCGGGGTTGCAGGCCGGTTCCCTGCAGGCCAGTTCCCAGCAGGGGACGCACAAAAGGCAACCATACATTGATGTTTCTCTCCCTCTCTCCTTCCCTTCCTCTCTAAAGATAAATAAAATCTTAAAAAAAAAACAAAACAAAAAAACTCACTCCAATCTGCAAACTCACAGCCCAGCTCCCCAGCACTACCCTCCAATCTTTATAGCTTAAGACTTAAAATTGTCAGCCACCCGAAAGGATGAGCCACAGACCAAACCAGCTGTTGTCAGTTTCTTGCCTCTGCTGAAGTTCCTGCTGTGGCTGCACTTTGTAATTACCCTGGGGGCTTTGGAAAAGTGATGCCTGGGTTCCAGCTGGGGATTTTTGAGTACCTACGGGGTGGGGGGGATGAAGGTGGGCCTAAAGATTAAGGGGTTTAACTCAAGGGATTTTAGCACAATTGGTAACCCTGCTGCTCTACATAAAAAGCCATTTTCATACCAACCCATCTGATGTGGGATGAACTGTCATTGTTCCCACTGCACACACACACACACACACACACACGAGAACTTACTTAGAAACAGGGTCATGATGTTACAGAACAACAGGTGGGGGGGGCAATACTTGGCCCATCTAGGGATGCCAAAAACTGCTACAGAACAGGGGCCCCTCCCAAGGACACAATACTAATATCTCATGGGCTCTTCTGTCCGCCGCCAATTGGAAAGACATCTCTCAATGCCAGAGACTTGTGAAAAGGAAACGAAATGTTTATTTAATGCTATTCAGGCCTAACGCCTCCACTAAAATATCACAGTCCTTTAGGGTATACACCTACACCCACACAGAGCTCCCTTCTCCCACTGTCCCAACCTCGGGTACCGTAAATCAGGAAAAGAGCATACGTCTGTGTTTCAGGCCGCTGGTACCATCAGCTGTGTCGCCGTGCAGGAATTCTAGTTAATCCAAAGTCACGTGGCACCTTCTCATGGTCCATGAGCAAAAATTCTTTCTACCAAGTTCCAAGCAAAGTCTCTCCTGCTTTCCAGGCCACACGGCCAAAGGGGGCACCCCAAAGCTGTGTGGGCCTCTTCTGCCAAAGCTGCAGGGGTCAGCACTCTGACCAAAAGTTCATGTGGCTTTCTTCTTGACCTGGCCGCAGGGATCTCCATTCTGGCAAAGCTGTGTGGTTTTCCCTTTCACTTTGCTGAAACCACGTGGTTCTCTCTTTCATCTGGCTGCAGGGATCTCCATTCTGGCAAAGCTGAGTGGTACTCTTTTCACTCTCCTCCAAACCGCGTGGCTCTCCCTTTCACCTAGCTGCAGGGGTCTGCACTCTGGCCAAGAGGGGGGGATCTTAACTCAGTTGAGATTGAGTAACTCTCTCTCCTCTTCACCTCGGCAAGAGGGCGTCTTAACTCAGCTGAGACTCCGTGGCTCTCTCTTTCAGTGGCTGCCGCGTCTAGGTTTAAATCTCTGAACCCATCCTCCTTTGCGGCCCTCTTTTCAACTCCTCCTACAATCAGTTACACCTGCCAGGACTCTCGTACCCTCCCTGCCTTACTGGACTGCCATCATTAGTCTGGGCAGGTATGGCCCCAGGGCGTGGAGCCAATCAACTCCAAGCTCTCATGCAGGCGCTGTAACTCAGGGGACCAGCCCCCAGTTACATCCTGGGTGGAAGCCACTCCCTTCTCCCTGGCTCAAAACTTGGCCACAGCTATTTAACATATCTGTGAAACCAGTTAGTTATAGATATGTTAAATGACCGTTCCAGAGGTTAGTTGCAAAACTGTCGCTATGCAAAACAGCTCTCAATGGCCCTGGCTTCCTTTGTTCCTTCCCCCTGGGGCGAGGGGGTGGTGAGGACATCTTAATATTTCCTGGATACCCTGAGCTCTGGACCCCATTCCAAATCCTTTTCTGGGGCCCCCCTCTTGGCTGTGCCCTGTTCCAATGATGTTAAAATGAGGCCCTAACTGTAGCGTGTGCCCCTCGTCCAATACAACTGAATGACTGGTGCCCTTATTTAAAAAAAAAAAAAATTTGAAAAAGAAGCCATGCAAAGGGTCAGCTTCACAGGGAGAACAAATGAAGGCAGAATCAGAGGAGGTGACTCATCAATGAGCCAAGGACCACCCGAGATCACCAGGAACCTTCCAGAAGTGAGATCAGCATGGGACTGTCCTCAGGAACCACCGACACCGTGGTTTTGAATTGCAGGCCTTCAGGAACGTAAGACAATACATTTCTATTACTGAAGCCCAGTTTGTGACCTTCTGGTATGGCTGCCCCAGCAGACTGCACCACAGCTTCACCTGAAGTCTCATTGACCTTGGAGTTTCCAGGCAGGCATACCTCTCCTCCATTCCACCCCCACCAACGGTTCCTGTAGTTCACCACGGTTCCTGCTTCCCCTGCTCATTCTTAATGAATACACACTGAAAGACAGACTGCACTAGGGACTATTTAACAGCAGAAAGAAAAACCAAAACGGGCAGTCCTTACTCTCGTGGAATTTACAGTCGAGGAGAGAATGCAATCAAATGACCAACTAGATTAAAAAAAAATCGCAGCTGTGGTTTGTATAACACGATCTGTCCTTGTTGCAGTGATCTCCCAGGATTCCCTCTTAAACATGCCTAAGAGGAGTGCCCCTTGAGGGAAGATCTACAGAATGAGCCAGAATTAGCAGAAAGAGCAGAGTGCTGCCCAAAGGACGGGACCTTGCAGGTGCAGGGTCTCCGTGAGTGGAGGGAGGCCCTGGGCGTCCCCCTGCAGAGTCAGTGGGCAGTGTCCATTATCTCCAAAGGCCTAAAAGATGACCCATACACACTGGCAGACGGACCTGTGTCAAAGATTTTATTCAGCTCAGTCATTCATTAGGGATCCAGGCAGACAGTAAAATTGGTTCCACAAAGAACGCCAAGCAGTTTATACAAGTCATCAAGACTATAAAAGAATTTAAAATAAGATTGCTTAGGTCAGATACAAAACTGGTTAATACTTCACAGGACAAAATAAAAACACCTTTGGTGAGAGTTTCTTTCTACCACATAAGTCACTGACTTAACATGTAAGAACATCACAGGGTGGGTTCTCATTGGTAATCACTGAAGTCTAGTGCAGGCATGGTTTTGTAGAAAACATGAGTGTTTGTTAGACAATGTCCTCAGTGACAATATAGAAAACATGATCACAATGATTACAAATTCTCATACTTCTCTATACAATAAATCACCACCTTTTCTTTTTCTCTCAGAAAATTGGGAAGGGGTCTGAGAGCTGCCCCTTGAGTTTTTAATCTTTGTGTTCCAAGTAGTTATCTCACTCCTAAGCCATTCACCAAACCCAACACCCACCTCTGAGATGAGGGCTACTTTCTTTGATTGGGTGTGAGATGGGCGAAGACTTTTTCTAAGCTACTGCTTTACATACACACATAAACTATCCACATGATGTCTAAGAGGAAGACTGAAAACTTCAAAGGGTCAATTAAAAATTTTTCCCCCAAACGGAAGTAAATAAAACTATACCTACCCGCATCCCAATAGAAACTATTTTCTTATATTTGCCTCTTATTTTGCGCATCCTGAAGAACAGAGACTCCATCATACATACAGAGAACACCTAGAGAGGGAAGTGTAAACAACATACTTCCCCTCTTCCTCTAGAAATCAGCCTGCATTTTTAGGAAAGGGGGATAAAATCAGACCACCATCCTAGCAGGTCATGTGTGCACAGCAGGTTCCTACACAACAGAATTCAAGAGGGAGCTTGCTTTTTGGCAGGTTGATCCAAATGTAATTCATTATCCTTGTTACTTGGGATATAAAGTTGATAAGCCTTTCACGTAAAAGCCCCCCTATAAATCTGTTGTCACCCACTTCTCAGAACTGTACAACTGCCCCCGACAAGGCCGTACAAAAGAACATCTTTCAGTGGATCGTCAAACAGAGAAAGACGGGAGCATTACAAGACAGTATTACTTAATGTGCTTCAAAGTATCAAGGCTTCTTTTAAGAACTCTAAAAAGGAGGATACTTAAAAATAATTTTAAAATATTCACATTTCTAGTGACACCTCCCTTTCCACCTGATAAAATACGCAGGGAAATTAAGTGGTTCTCCACTTGGAGTGATAAATGTTATGAAGTCTTGATACTAGCAGCAATAGCAACAGTAATAGGGCATCTCCATTCCACAAGTAGCTATGATATCTTCAAACCTGAAGTCCTGATTATACCTAATTCTGTTTTCAGAAATCTCTCGAATCCTGCACCTAGTCCTAAGGATGCCAGACTATTATTTATTTCTCCTCTAACTTCCCAAACTTATGCTGCTCACGCATCTGTTGTTCTAATTAGCATGGGGCACTCCAGTTAAGATTCGGTTTAAAAGTAGCCTCTCTTACACGAAATAGGTGTGCAAAGCCAGGCCACAGTGCAAAAGTTCTAGGGGTAGAGAACAACAGTTCCAACTCACTGCGAGAAGTCTTTTTCATGGATTACTTAATAAAAACTCATTTATAAAGTCAGGCCCTTGACTTTTGAGCATCTTGTGGTTTTAGATTTCACAGGTGGGAGGGCTGAGGGTCAACAGCACCATCATAAGAATCGGCCTCTGGGAGGCAGATGGTAAGGGATTCTGTATCTGTGACTCTTCTTGGAAAACAGAGAGAAAATAAAGGCTTGACAACTCCATCAAAGACAAGATGAGAGAAACTATAAATGAGGAGTCCCTTTGTCACATCATAGAATGCTACCTGCCCGTACTTATAGTCTAAGAAAACTCCAACTCTGTGGATTCGCTCTCCCGAGAATACCCTTTTTAAAGGAGGAAAGGCCCAGAAGGTACAGTCGGCTCCCATCATGGACGCCATGAGCAAGCATTTATCTCCAGAAGCTTTGAGCATGATGTCCGGTCCGCTGGCAGTGTCTTCGTATACACCCAACTGCCATTTGGTTGCCTGTCCCACATCCACCTCCCAGTAATGCCTGCCCGAGGTGAAACTCTCCACACCCAACACAGAAGCACTGTAGTCGAATCTCTCTGGGTGGCCAAGCTCATTCTGCTGGATAGTTCTGAATCTGACAGTTCTCAGATGCTCGCATAAGAGAAGGAAGGGATGAGCTGTTGTGGGGTCCAAAGTGACGGGTCCTACAAGGAGAGAGAGATTTGGTTAACTCGGGGGGTCCGTCACTGCCGGTGCCTGAGACTGAGGATTCCCAACACGCAGGGGCTTCCCAGGGAGAGGCCCAAGTCTCAGAGGCAGAGACAGCAGAGGAAATGCAGGGAAGTCCAGGAAAAGAAACCTCTAAGCTTTGTTTCAAGAAAAGACCTCGCAGGAGAGAAAACGTTGACAAGATGATGGAAGGACAGACCGCGCTCTCCACGGAGGAAGGACAAAACCGAGACTAATGGACTACAAAGAGGTATGGAAGTACGCTTCAGACCATGAGGGAACTTGACCTGGCTGAAATGTCCCGGCATCCAGTCCTAGCCAGATACCACCTGGGACCCAACTCTAGTCTCCTAAAGATCTTCTCCAAGCCTGCAACAGCCGGAAACACTGAGTCTCCTAATAAAACCAGTTGAGCCGTGCTCTTCCCTGTGACTGAATTGCTCTCCTCACCTTACCTGTCACCAGGTTGCGACGCAGATGCCTAGACACTGCTGCCAGCATGCCCTTGAGAGTGAGCAAATCCAAAGTGAAGGTATTAGCAGAGGCGACAAAACCTGTGAGACTACTCCAGAAAAATCAAGCTGAGAACAAGAAAGTTTAAAGTATTATCTCCTACCTGAGTGCAACTGATCCTTGCCTTCATGTCTGACTGTTTTGTTCCCTTCCCTCTCTGTTCTGACTCTAAAGATAGTGATTTTTCACAGCTTTGTCTTAGGCCTGCCTTTTCCACTTCTTGTCCTCCTTCCCCCATGTGACTTCATCTAGCCTCAGTGTTAAATATCTTCTATATGTTCATTACTTACTCCATCCATAGAAAAGCTGCCAAATACAAGCTGGACAGAACACAGGCCTTTCAAACACACTGCATCCAGAATGGGGCTCCCAGACCTCTCCCTTCCCACTTGCTACTTTCCAGTTAACAGCACACTCAGTACTCAGGTTGATCACGTTATAAACCTGGAGTGGCTCTTTATTTCCTACTTTCTTTCACATTAATCCAGTAGCAAGTTTTATGGCCAAAGAAACTTAAGTCTCTGGACCTGCAACCCAGTTCACATCATTATTATTAGAGCAATCGTAGAAGGCCACAAAGCCTTGATTCTAAGTTTCAAGTTGCCCCTGGCTCCCAGCATTTCTAGAAGACTGGCAGAGACAAATGCAAATTCTTTCTGGAAGAATGCACACCTTTGTTCTTGGCCTCAAAGAATTTCTAAAATTAATATCTAAGGAAAAAAGGAAAGCTTCCTTCTTTAAAAAAGCACGAGACACACACTCACAAAGTAAGGGGGCGGTACTGCGCAGAGTAGCAGAAACAAATCTGAAGAACTCAAACACTGAAATTACCGGGCACAGACTCTGCTTACTATTTTGAAGGGGAAAAAAAGCCTAAAAAGTATCTACAGGATGTAGCAAACTGAAAAGTGAGGCCGAGTGGGCTTGACGAAGAACCACAGAGATTATCTGCAGATGAAAATATTCAAGTGAATTAGCTGAAGTGTCAATGGATGACAACAAGAAAAGAAAGCTACAGACCAATGTGCTTCATTAACATAAATACAAAAGTTCTTAAAAAAAATTAGCACATTAAATTCAGAAATATATAAAATGGACAAAATACCACTGCCAAGAGTTTACCCTGGGAATGTAATACCAGTGCAACATATGAAAATAATATAATTCATCACATTAATAGAGGAAGAAAACACAGGTGCACATTTTTGTAGAAACAGAAACTTAGAAAACACATCTAATATATTCACCATCCATTCATGATAAAAGGTTTTATCAAACCAGGAACAGAGGGGAATGCCCTCGGCTTGATGAAAGGCAACTACGGAAAACATACACTTAAACTTGAAGGTGGAAGACTTAGTGCTTTCTTCCCTGAGATCCAGAATGAGGCATGCGTCTCTCATTTCTATATTCAGCACCCTTTTGGAGGTCCTGGCCGACCCAATCAGGTGACAGAAACAGAGAAAAGACTTACAGATTGAGAAGAAGGAAATGCAACTGTATTCATAGATTACCAGACTATCTCTGCAGATAATTCCACAGAATCCAGTAGATCTTGTAAATGAGTTTAGTATAATGATAAAATGTTAATATTTACAAACCAGTATTTTTCTCTGTACTAGTAATAATCTAAAATTAAATGAAATTTAAATGAGAAATTCATACTTAATACTAATAATAGCACTAAAAATAAAATACTTAGGGATCCATTTAATTAAATATGCACAATATTTGTTTCCTGAAGACTACAAAACCCACCTAAATAAATGGCTACATTACCTTATCCCTAAATTAATCTATATAACCAATGTAATACCAACGACAAACCCAGGAGTTTTTTTTTTTTTTTATAAAAGCCAACAAGCTAAAATTTATGGGAAAAGGACAAGATATAGAATAGCCAAAATTGCTTTGTAAAGGAAAATCTGCAGAATTCATGATGCCCAGTTTCATGACTTCTTATGGAATAATGAGACAAGCCAGTGTGGTATTAGCGAAAGGGTAAACAGACAAAAACACGATGGCCAATGGTTTTTGAGAGTCCAAACAGACTTGCTCACACACGCCCACTGATTTCCAACACAGGTGTGAGGCACACTGAAGGGAGGACAGTGTTTTCAACAAGCGATGCTGGAACAACCGGACATAGGTATGCACACTAAAGGGGACGTGTACCATACCCTGGATCACGAAGAAACGTTAACTCTGAGTGGATAACAGACCTACACATCCGAACTAAAGCCGTAAAACTTCTGCCGAGAAAAAGCTTTGCTGGGACAAGAAAAAATTTCTTAGGATGCAAAAAGCAGTCATGAAAGATAAAAATGAAACAAAGTTTCCAAATTTAAGACTTCTCTTTGAAAGACTATTAGGTAAATGATAATATAAACCACGCACTAGGAGAAATCTTTGCAAAACACATACCTAATAAATGATTTATAATCAGAATATAAATAAATCGCAAATCTCAGTAAGAAAACACAACAGTTTTTAAAACTGGGAAATGTTCACAGATATACTTCAAAAAAAACAATAGTAAAGGGTGAGTAAATGCATGAAAATATGCTCAATATCATTAATCATGTCAGAAATGCAAATTTAAAATCAAAGTGATACGCCAGTGTATGCTTATTGTGTTAGCTGATAAAAAACAACACTACCAAACACGGGCAAGGAGGCAGAGCAACCGTTCAACCAAAAGAACCGTGGCCTAAATCTACATAAGCCACGGCCACACAAAAATCTGTAAGGAACTATGTATAGCACAAGGTTGGAAACAACGTAAGTGTGTGCGGAATCACAAAAACGATAATCATGGTACACGCCCACAATGGATGCCCCATGACAGCAAAAAGGAACAAGCTCCGGAACACGCAACAACCTGGGAAGTGCCTCGCACACAGCGCACTCAGTGATAGAGGACAGACTCAAACGGCCACAGACTGTACGAATTCACCTGCCCCATGACAGGACACTCAGAAAAAGACAGAGCTCAGTGCGGGAGGCATTAATCCTTCGTTACACATATCGCCGTTCTTCCCTAGGAGTTCAACAGTTTTAAACAGCAGAATCTGCCTGCAATTACGTGGCAAGCCTGGGAAGAAGGGGAAGGATTTGCACAGGACAGCCTTTCAACATAAGAGCAACAATCACTGTGATAGCTTTCTAATGTATGTAAGCCTCTTAAACGCCACGCTCCTTTACACCCTTCGGCTTTCTGGAATTTACCATTATTTATGGTAGGATGTAGTAACAGATGCCAACTTACTTTGAAGTCCTCCCAGTATCTTCCTTATTCCCGGGATCTGGCACAGTCTCGGGTCCATGATTTGGGCAGGCTCTAGGCTCTGAAGCAGCACCAGGCTGCTACCTCTGTAAAGAAGGGCAGCGTGAGGCCGGTGGCAGGTCCCGGGCCCTCTACCCAGAGGACGACCTCAGGACATGAACTTCCTGTCCTTCCCTGACACCTCCACTCAGGTCTGCTCACATGTTAGCCCCTGATCCTGACCCAAGAATCTCCAAGGTGAAAACTTACCGTTCGAAATAATCTCGTGCATCCTGCAGGGAAACAGGGAGACAAGGTTACTGTATCTGAGCCAAGCCTTTGGTGAGGAGTTAGGCCCATGAAAATATCTTCTAACCAGGAAACTCCAGTTCCATGTAATTTCTTCAGTCTCATGATGCTAATTCTCAGATATCAAACCTTGACACTGAATAGGAAAAACTGGACAAACGGTGTGAAGTCATCATGACATTCCCAAGAGAAGTATTATCCATACCTCACCTCAGCCATCTTACTCAGGACGTGCGTCATCCCAATTCAGAGCATCTATTTGCTTTCCACGCCTGGGGTGGCGAGGGCTGAGCATGCGAAGGGGCCTGCTAAGCTGCGAGGGGGGTAGAGCCAAGTTGGGAACTGCGCAAAACTGACTCACACCTACCTCTGCTTTGGAACTAGCCTTGGCTCTAAATTGGAAATTAAGGGTTTATGGGCAGGGGCTTCTCGAATAAGAGCACCATGTTACAAATACCGGCCAGGCAGAGATACAAATGGAGTCTTTAAAAGGTAATAATGTACTTGTTAAAAATGCAACATAAATTGCTACAGAAAGTTTTAAAGATATACAATACTATCCAAATAAATATCCCAAGGTTACCACTGATTAAAATGTGTCTTTTTTTTTTGCCAGAGGCAGTCTGAATGTTAATGAGCATGTCTCTGTGTTTATACACATTCTTTAAAGCCAAACAAGACACGGTTCTGCATCTTTTTTTCCACTTAACTAGGTATCTTGAAGATAACCTTTCAGTGCCCACAGAACTACTTCATTCCTTTTTTATGGTGGCAGAACATTCTATTGTATAGATGTATCCTAATTTGACTAACCAATCATTTAGGTATCAGGGACATCTCAATTCAAACTTACTACTCATGATTTTAAGGGGAGTAGCTCTATGATTTTACCATGCTCCATGATTTTGGTGATAGGAAAATAGCCAAATAGCCTCCATGAATGGTTGAAAATCACTGGATATTGTGCTCTGGACATGACCCCTAACGAGTCCAGTCCGCTTCTCGTTTCTCAAACACCGTAATGACGGTTCTTGCTAGACTCTCACCTTGAGCAACACCAACGGCATCTCCTCACACTTGCTCTCCAGCTCTTGGATGGTCACCTGCAGCACGTAGATCTGCTCGTAGAGTCTGAGTTCACTCTCCTGCAGCTTACTCATGTTCTCCATCCTCAGCTCCCTCAGTTTCTGCGGAGGCACCGCCTCATTACTATCCACCAGCCAGCAATTTCTCTCCTTCACTAACAACCACCTTTTTAACAACCCGTTTTATCGCCTGCCACCCCGGGAATACACATAATTGGGTAAGGCCAGGACATCCCTCCGTCAAGCAAGACACCTCAGCAACTTGATTCCGTGACACAATGTTTTTATGCTGACACGAACGCTGTGCATATAGTCTGCTCATTCAGATAACAACCTGGACCTAAAATGCATCATTGTTTAATGGGAAGTTTTGTTTAAAAATTTTCCTATTTCCTTCATCAAATTAAAAACTAAGATTTGAATCAAAAATTAAACATCAATAAGAATAATTCATCAAGCCACTGACATCACTTTCCTTTTCATCCTTGTGAAGATGCCCACATAGGTGCAAAGTACGTGTCCGTGATATTTCTTAACTGATTTCACAGAGAGAGGGAGAGAAACATCAATTTGTTGTTCCACTTACTTAGGCATTTACTGGTTGATTCTTTTATGTGCCCTGACTAGTGATTGAACCTACAGCCTTGGTGTATTGAGATGATGCTCTAACCAACTGAGCTATCCAGCCAGGACCCATTTTTTTTTTCCTTTAAAGAACACAAATAATTGAATATTATACTGTATTATTGATCTGACAACTTGCTTTTCCCTAATGTTCTGGTGGGACATCCCTTAACCATACACACAGCCTATTATCTTTTCTAAAAGCTAAAGAGCATTTATTTTATGACATAAGTCTATTTTGTAAGTCCGAGATTGATATAGGTTGTACCTAGTCTCTTGTTATCAATAAATGTTATAGAAGTAATAATACCTAATACTTATCTGGTGCACAAAATGTACAAACACTATTTCCATTTTATTGACTGATTTTAGAGGGAGAGGAAGGGAGAACAGGGGAGAAAGAAAATTGATTTGTTGTTCTATTTATGCATTAATAGGTTGATCCTTTGTTTAAAATGTATTGATTGATTTTAAAGAGAGGGTGGGGAGAGGGGGGAGAAGGAAAGAGAGGAGAAAAGGAGAGGGGGAGAGAGAGCAATCTTCTCGTTCCACTTATACATACATTCATTAGTTGATTCTTGTATGTGCCCTGACTGAGGATAAAACCTGCAACCTTGGCGTTCAGGGGGCAACGCTCTAACCAACTGAGCTAACCGGCCAAGACTACGAACACCATTTTAAAATCTTGCTAGGTTCCCTCCCTACCTTGTTCCCTCTCAGTTGTGCATCTCCTACACCCTCAGGGTCTCCATCAGGCTTGCAACGTGGGAGCAATGGGCAGAGGCAGCTCATCCTAGTCTTGCCCCTGAGCACGACTCAAAGCCCCATTTTTTCTAACTTCCTAGTGAGCCGAAGCAGCCCCACCCAGGCCCCTTTCTTGTTTCACTGTCCTTCGGCTTATTAACGTACTCTCAAAATCACCTGGACTCATATCATGAAATCGTTCCTGCATGAAGTCAAGGACTTGAACACTACTCACCAGCCTGAGGCCAATCTGTTCTTGCCTGGTTCCTGTCCAGTAACAAGGACAGTAGTGACTTTTGGGTTGGGGGATGTTAGTGACTAGGCTGGCACTCCAAGAAAGCTTCTGGGGGACGGCAAATTCCTGATTCTTGATCTGAGTGTTGGGCTATCACTGGGGTGTGATTCAGTTTGACAAAACTCGGTTATAATTCATGCTCTATGTTTTTCCTCAATTAAAAAAAAAAAGCTTATGTAGATTGCCACTCTCAGTCCTCACATCAGTATTATGTACCAGGAGCCATTATTATCCTCACCTTACAGCTAAGAAAACCAAGCCCAAAGCCACAGAGAGGCTAGTAAAGAGCAGACAGATTCCAGATGGGGATCTCATCAACCTGACTTCAAAGACTACATCTAAACCAGACGGAAATAATTTTCAGTGTTTCCTTACTCATGTGTCTTTTCATATGCATGTAAGTGTATATGTAGTAAATTCTCAGAAATAAAATTGCTGGGTGAATATATACATTCATTTCATAAATACACTGATACCACTGAATGTCTTACTCTGGAACTGACATGTGCAACTCTGCTTTCTGCCATTCCCCAAACACTGGAAGATGACATTTTCAGCATCTCACCTGTATCGCTTCCTGGAACTTGTCCTCTAGCTCTGCGACAAACGCTGCCCTCTGAGTCGAGGTGGCTTTTCTCAAGTTCAGGTTGAACGTGGGCCCTTCCAGGTTCTCGTCACTCTCTTCGGTCATCAACCGGAATATCATCTTATACTCAGACTCAATCATTTCTCTGAAGTCCTGCTCCTCTTCCTTCAGCACGGATACAGACACAATGGACTTCAAGTTAAACACACCACACATTGCCCACGAATCTCTTCCATCTCTAACTTCAATGTAAAGACAAGGAGACACAGGGTATGGGGGGAGAACCAAAAGGACAAAAATGCAAAGGACAAAGGGAATTTCAGTGTGAAGATGGACCAAGATACCAAGACAAACCTACCACGTGAAATGCAGATGAAGGTATGTTAATTGACTTACAGGAATTTACAACTGTAGTTGACTAAAGAGAAGGCAACCAGGAAAACCGGACGGAATCCCCAATGACATTTGCTGATGCTTTCAATAACAAGCACAAGAAAAGAGAAATTAATGAAGGATTCCAAGATTTTTATTTTTTTAAATCCTCATCTGAGGGCATTTATTTATTTCATTGCATTTTTTTTTTTAAAGAGGAAGAGAGACAGAAAAAACATCAATGTGAGAGAAAAACATCAATTGGTTGCCTCCCATTCATGCCTGGACTGGGGATCAAACCCACAACGGTAGGTATATGCCCTGACCTGGAACCAAACATTTAACCTTTAGGTTCCAGGATAAGGCTCCAACCAAGTGAGCCCAACTGGCCAGGGTTATTGCAAGAGTTTCAGACTTAAACAACTAGAAGAACAGAATTGCCAAAACACAGAAGGCGAAACTCTGGAAGAGAGAGATTCCAGAGGTGGGGAATGAGGAGCTCAGTTTTGGATATGCTGATTTTCATTAGTCAATTCCCCACCCAAGGAGAGGATTTAAAATAAAGCCTATTATCTGGAAGGCAGGGCTGGAGATTTACTGTGGGCATATTCAGCACAGTGATAATTTAATCTAATCACACTTAATGGATTCAAGATTTATCAAGAACCAGAGCACTGAGCCCTCTAGAACCGCCCCTCCAGGTCACCATCTCTGGGCCCTGACCCCTGCAGCAGCCCCCGTTACAGGTCCACTCCCACTCTCACCCTCCCAGTCCATCCTCACTTCAGCAGCTAGAGCATTTCCGAGACAAGAGGAAGTTAGGTTCTGTTTTTCCTCTGTTCAAAACTTTCCTGTGGAACCGCCCCGGATGATATGGCCTCTTTACCTCCTGCTCCCATTATCATCGAAGTCTCTGCTTTCTTCTTACAACACATTCCTACTTATCCTTCTCTCTGTCTAGAACATTCTTCCCAAAACCACATGGCTCCATTTCTTGAGTTTTCCCAAATGCCAATTTCTAAGTGGCAAGGCACTGACGGCTTTATGTAAACCTGAACTCCATCACTTCTGCTTTTCAAAATAAGATTTTTATAGCACTTAACATGAAACATACAATACTTTGACTTAGGGCAGTAAATACATGACACACACATGATGTACTGTAGAACTGTAGGCCTGAAATTTACATAATTGTATGAACCAATGTCACTTCAATAAGTTCAGTAAATAGAAACATATACCTTTTACTTGTCTTATTCTGTTTACCTACAGTAAAACAGCAGTTGTACAAGGGCAGAATTGTTTGGTTTTTCATGGCTAAATCCCCAGCACCTAGTCTACTTTCTGGCAAACAGTGGGAACACAGTATTTGTTGACTGTATGGTGCTTGGGCTGAAAAAAACTTAGGGATCAGTTAAAAAAATTCTTGTACAGTCAGGAATTCTCCTCTATCATCTTCTACTGGATGTTTTTCTTTAAAAATTGAAAGAGGGAAGACCCACAGTCTGGGCTATCTGGCACCAAATAAGTGAAATATGATGAGAAGGCTTGAAATTAGAAGTGAAACTTGTGCAGAGAAGATGGTGAGCTCTCGGTGTGTATGGTAATTCTCAAATCACCCTTTAAAATGGTGTCAGGGTTTATATGGCCACCGGAAATACACAACATGTTCCTTCTTCCACCGCATTGTTATAAACTGTTACCAACTTTTTTGGTCTTTGCCAAGAAGGATTGCAAATGTTCTCTCACTATCACTTAATTCAATTGATTTGTATTTTACTTACCACCAGCAAAGTTCACAATCTACTTCTGCCAAGATGGAGGCATAGATGGAGAAGCCTTGCTTTCTCTCACAACCAAGTTTAGAGACAACTAAATATTAGCAATAGAAAACACAGCCAGAACACAGAAAATTGAACTTTTTCAGAAGTCTGATAACAACAAATTCTTCAGCCTGACTGGTAAGAGGGGCGAAACCAACAGCTGTCGGAGCGGGGTTGCACAGGAAAACTCAGTCAGATGGACTCAGGCGCCTGGAATCCAGGCACAGGATTGGACCTAGTGAGAGACCCAGCGACCGCGGGGAAACAGTGAGGGAGCAGGGCTTTGGGTTGACTGTGGTCGCACTTTCGTGTGCAGATAGACAAGCAAGGGAGTGGGCGGTGAGACCATGGGACTGAGCAGGCCTCAAGAGCCCCAGCACAGGGTGCCGCCATTTCCCCGCTCTGACCTCGCCTCCACATATAGGGTCACAACCCAGCAACCTAAGAGTCCAAGGCTCCGCTACTCATACTTAACGGGCAAGAACACACCAAAAATGGCTCAAGAAGATCTCAAAGCCCCAGAGCCTATAAATCTAACCGATGAAGAAACAGCAAAACTCAGACGCACAGTTTAAAACACTGGTCATCAGGATGCTCACAGAACTGGTTGATTACAGCCACAAATTAGACAAACATATGAAGGCGAAACTAATTGAAATGAATGGAATTGCACAGGAAACCAATAGCGATGAAAAGGAAACTGGGACTCAAATCAATGGAGTGGACCAGAAGAAAGCAAATAATGGCCAAACAGAAAAGAATGAAAAAGCAAGAATTCAAAGAAATGAGGAGTGTCTTAGGATCCTCCAGGACATCTTTAAATGCTCCAACATCCAAATTATAGGGATACCAGAAGGGGGGAAGGAACAGCCACCAGTGGAAAACTTATTTGAACAAATAATAAAGGAGAATTTCCCCAACCTGGCAAAGGAAATAGATTTCCAGGAAATCCAGGAAGCTCAGAGAGTCCCAAAGAAGATGGACCCAAGAAGAAACACACTAAGGCACATCATCATTATATTAGCCAAAATTAAAATGAAGGAGAGAATCCTAGAAGCAGCAAGAGCTAAGGGGACAGTCACCTACAAAGGAGTTCCTATCAGACTGCAGCTGATTTCTCAAAAGAGACCTTACAGGCAAGAAGGGGCTGGAAAGAGGTATTCCAAGTCATGAAATCCAAAGACCTACATCCAAGATTGCTCTATCCAGCAAAACTTTCATTTAGAATGGAAGGACAGATACAGTGCTTCTCAGATAAGATCAAATTCAAGGAGTTCATCATCACCAAGCCCTTATTATATGAAATGTTAAAAGGACTTATCTAAGAAAAAGAAGTTAAAAAAATATGAACAGTGAAAGGAGAGCAAACTCACAGTTATTAACAACCACACCTAAAACAAAAGCAAACTAAAAGGACAGCTAGATCAGGAGCAGAACCATAGAAATGAAGATCACATGGAGGGTTAGCAACAGGGGAGTGGGAGAAGGAGAAGGGGGGAGAAGGTACAGAAAGTAAGTAGCATAGATGGTAGGTAGAAAATAGATAGGGGGGAGGGCAAGAGTAGTAAGGGAAATATAGAATCTAAAGAACTTGAAACACATGGTCATAAACTAAAGGCGGGGGAATGGTGGGGGTGGGGTATGCAGGGTGGAGGGGAATGAAGGGGGGAATAGAACAACTGTAATGGCATAATCAATAAAAAAATAAATTTAAAAAAAGTTCACAATCTTCTTGTATATTCAAAAGATGGCTGCCATTTTCTTTTCTCTGAACTCTCATTTCTTTGATCATTTTTCTATTAAGTTTCCAGTCTCACACTTACCGACTTTTTTGTTTTTTAAATTTTAATTGTTCAAGTAGTTTTCTGCGTTTAACTCCCATTCCAGCCCACCCCCACAGCCCTCCCCACCTCCCTCCCATTTCCACCCCCCTTAATTTTGTCCATGTGTCTTTTATACTAGTTCCTGTAAACCCTTCCCCCTTTCCCCTGAAATTCCCTCTCACTTACTGACTTTTAAGCTCTCTTTGTTAAGAAATTAGCACTTTGCCTACCTATGGATCTTCAAATATGGTTGTCATCTGTCTCTTGACTTTGTTTGTTATTTGCGATCCAACATTATAGGTATTTCCCTCCTAAGAATCAAGATAGGCACTGACCTGAATAATGACCATTTTTTCTTGTTCTTCAGCCAGCAGAGTTCTAGTAACTCCAAGTTTCGCCTCCAATGTGCTGGATAACTCCCAGAATAACTTCTGCAGAAAAATAGATCACAGAATTCCAGGTAAAGCACTTGCTTCAGAACAGTTAAGATTCCCCAACCTAAGACAACTGAAAGGCCAAGAGCCTTACTGTATTTTCCAACCCTTGACCCGGAAGGTCTACTACACATGGCATTCGTCTAATACATACTTTTTGATTAAACCTAAACCAGAGGAGTGGTCTTAGAGAGTCAGATTGATTATCTGTCTCCTAAATAAATAAGTTAATAAACAGAGTAGGCAGCCACAATGCTGGATTGCTCCAGAATTTGGACAAAGCTTACCCTGTAATTCTCAGCTGCCTCCTGTATCCCACACACCATGTGAGTCTCATGATCCTCGCACAATAAACATTTGCCACACAGGATAGCTTGATCTTCCTCACAAAACAGCAGACGCAGTTCCAGGTGTTTCTGGCAATATTCCTCTTCGGAGATGATTGATCTAAACATCCTGGCGTGGATTCCCAGGTGAAGGCTGGCCCGGTTCTGGTTCGGATGTGGAATACCTCCCTGCCCTGAACAGGAGGAGAGTGGCACCGTTCTAGCGCAGACACGTGGCTCAATATCAGAGCAGCCTACCTGGGCAGCTCACCACCTGCGCGCCTGCGCTCAAGCACTTCCTGTTCCGCACCCCTGGCTTCCGGAAGCAGTCATCAGCCATGACGTCACCATTCTAGTTTAAAGGGCTCGCTCTATTCTGAGAATTTTGAGCCGTTGACTAAAAATTACTTACAAATAACATCACACACCATTTCCCTATAAGGCTTGGGCGGGGGAGAAAAAAAAAAGGAGCACCGTTCAGGACACAGTGCTTTGCAATAAGTATTGAAGGATCTTCTGGAACGGGTGAGGCTCGGTCTGGCCGTTAAGGCATAGGGGACCACTCAATTTTACAGTGCTTGCGGGAGCCAGTAAGGAGTGATCACCTTGAGTGTCTCCTTAAATGAGAGAGGCGGACGCGTGTCATATTTACACATGCGTCACATATTTATGGAGGCACTCAAGCTCCCCCTAGATGCACCCACTCCCGAGTTCGTGCCTGAAGCCCAACATAAGAACCATCCGGAAACTAGCCTTGAAAGGACCTAGGTTAAAAAAAAAAGATGAAATGATTCCCCAAATAAGTAGGTGTAATTTTTTGCCCAGGCACTAAAGGAAAACTGCATATCCGCACTTCGGCACTTTTTAGTTTTAGAGAGAGGGGAGACAGGAGCCAGAGAGGGAGAAAAAGAGTGTGGTCAATTCTCGTGCGCCCCCTACTGGGGACCTGGCCCGCATCCCAGGCATGTGCCCGACTAGGAATTGAATCCGTGACATTTGGGCTGGCAGGCTGGCACTCAATCTGCTGAGCCACACCAGCCAGGGTTGGTTTTTGTGTTGTTGTTTTTTTTGTAACTAGGAAAAGTAGCACAAGAAAACTATAATCTTTGGCATCCCCATTTCCAGACAATCTTCTGATCACCACTGAGCAATAATTCTGCCTTTTCCCTAGAAATATTTTAGTTACATACCTACTGATTTGGGGGAAACTTTCCCCAGTAAAAAAAAAACTGTCTTAGTTGATTTAGTTTGTCTCCAGCCATCGTTGGGTGGCTGCAGACAGCCACCCTGTCTTAACCCTGTCTCCAGACATTGGTGGGTAACAACAAAATGCCAAGTGTTAATATCTCCCAAGCCTCTATTCTATTTATCTCTCTCCTCACTCCACCTTAGGAATCAGCTGTTTTGACGCTATCTCTTGAAACAAACCCACCTGACTGATCTGAGATCTCCCAAACTTCCATTTCTGGGTTTACGAGTTTTGTCCACCCCTCATTCTCCCTTCTGCCCAAGTGTTTTCTGCCATCAAGTTGATCTCCTGTCCTTTCATTCATTTTTAATTTTGTATTTGATACTTAAGATATGTAATGCATTTTATAAATCTGAAGTTGATTACTTCTGTACATATAATTTTTTTTTGTTATTTTTTAGGGTACATATAAAAGCAGTTTTGAAAGTGCAGTTCCCAAGACTTGATTTCCATTTTTCACTGGATTGACATTTGAACCCATGGTAGATATAATTGCTTGTGTCTTAACCATTAGTCAACCAAGTAGAACCTAACAGTACTGCAGTCATTTACTGTATTGTTTGAATCTCTACATACTTGCATACTCAGTTAAAAAAAGAGGCCCGTTGTACTTAATATTCTTATTTCTTGATAAAGTACAAAAATATGAAATCTCATCCTTGGAGTGCAGGATTTATTTAATATCCTGGACAACAAAATGAAAAATATACATAAGGCATTTATGCTACATATGGAAATAAAATGGTTGTCTCAAGAAAAAGCATTTTATATGATGTTAGGGTGGCAAGCCATACTAGCCATGTTTTTTCCATAGAACATTTTTAGTTGAAGGAGCAAATGAAACAAACTGTAGTTATTCAGATGTAATGATTTAGAAGACATTTCTCAATCACTAAAAAAGTGACCCTGATATTTCAAGGAAACTGAGGGTTACTTGCCAATGATAACAGTTGAGATTTTAAGCAAAAAGTAGTTTGGAAAAAGTTCTACCCACTATTTGAGTTTTGAAAAACTTTTACTTATGGTTTTAAGCTTGATAGCTTCCCAATATTTAGTCTTTTCTGGTGAAATTGGTGGTGATATTAACAAAATATGTCAACTTTTGAAAAGTCTGTGAATTTAGTGAGCCAATATTTTTCAAAAGACCAGTGTATAATCATTGTTATACTTATTCAAAGTATAAAACAGACCAATAGATTTTTATTTAACAAACAATAAAATGTTAAAAGATCAATTCTCTAAAAAGCGATTAGAATGCTCTCCACTTTTCCAACTCTGTATTTGTGTGAGGACAGATTTTATTCACATACTTCAACTACAATAACATTATGAGAGATGGAATATTGGAGGAGATGTAATAGCCATGTTCTGAAAAAAATAATAAAGAGATTAGCATGTTAAATCATGCCATTGTCTCAATAATTAGTCAGAAAAGGTTCTTTATGACAAAAGTGTCAAATTTTTTGCCCACTCAGTAGGTAGGAAATGGTATCTTTATATATTTCCAGTTTGTATTTATTTTATTATGAATAAAGCTATTATTTTCAAATGTTTAAAGGCCATTTTTCATTTTTATTTTCCACAAAGCATATATTTAAGTCTTTTACCCATTTTCTTCTACCTGGTTCTTGGTCTTTTTTTTTTTTTATTTTAAGAGATAGTTATACATTGAAATCATCATTCCCCTGTTATTATACAAGTTGCAATTATTTTTCTCTGTACTTGTAATCTGGCTCTGAATTTGCTCCAATTCTGTTTTTACTGCCTGGATCCTTCAATGCCCTTGCGTAACTTCCCTTGTCTGGACTTCCCAAATACGTGGTCTAGACACTCAACTGAAAAGAACTGATTGGTCACAAAAATGAACAGGTTTACAAATTCCATCTCCATGGCTGGCTTTATTTTATCTGAGCTTTTAGTAGCAGTTAAAGTAAGTGACCTGTGGCCCTCCTTTTGCAGCATTCTCTTCTCTTTGCTATCAAGATCACATGTCAGACATCCCTCCCACTTGACTGATTTGTCTCTCATCATCCTTCTTTGGCTTCCCATCCTTTTGAACTAGTAAATTTCAGGGGGCTTCATGAGTCAGCTCTAGTCCCTTACTCAAGTTCTACTGTGTTCCCTAGGTGGTCACATCTATTTCCAAAATGTAAGTCCCACTGTCCAATTTCACAATCTTCCACCTAGACACAGCACTTCCGACTCATTTGCAATCAAATGTCTACTAAGCACTCAAATTAACATATATAAAACACTGTTTTGGGTTTCAGCCAATACCTTTCTTCCCCAGACTCACTTTAAAACTAGTTCATTGAGAAGCTTAGTTTAAGCTGCCACGATTTGCCACTCGTTGATATTCAGCTCTGCCCCATTCTCTTGTTTAATTCTTCTTATCTCAATAACCAAAATACTACTTTAAAACCTAAATCAGGTTTCTAATAATTATCTTTTGCATTTAATAGAAAGTCCAAGTGGCTAAATGAGTCTAGATGATGTGGTCCCTTGCCTTATATCTAATCTCATCAAAGGCCTCCCCCCCCCGCAGTATTGATTCCAATTACAACCAATTCATCTGTCCTTTCTGCTGCCTCATCTGGCAATGCCTTTCTCTCAGGTTTTTGTCATTCACACTCCTCTCTTTCCTTCACTTCTCAGTGCAGACATTACTCCTCCGGCCTTTCTATAACTACTCAATTTGAAATACCTTCCTGCCATTCACTATCTTATTTTCTTTAACTCTCACTGTATTTATCTATGACAAATTTGTTGGTCACTGTGTTCATAAAAAACTAAGTTCCTCAGGTATCCTGTCCATAGCTGACATACTAGATGTTCAATATGTTTTTAAAAATACATTTTAAACCAAAACAACAGAAAGGAAAATTCAGACAAGGACAGAGAGAACAGACATTGAACATTTTGATGGAAACCATGAGAAAGTGAAGTTGGAGAAAAATCTATCTCCCTAGTAAGTAAGTGTGCTGTTTGGGTGCTAAATTCATACCTACCTACACTTATCTTCTTCCTCCTAATTTTATTTTTTCTTTGCCTTGCTCTCATGCTTATTCTTTAATACTATTGCATTGTATATGTACACATTCTAAGGCTCCCATAAATACTAAGGTCAAGTTTAGGTATCTAATTAAACCCGTGACTAAGGAAATGATCATCAGAGAAGAGCTCACCTTCCTTTGGAATCTTGAGTATTTCCATGGAGACTGAAGGGCTTCTATACATACAGCTGCTCCCTCAGCCCCTCCTCTGATGATCCGATAGGAAATCTGTAAAGAGTCAAAGTATACCCGTAAAACAAACCTAGGTCAGGGGTTATTAAACTTACATAGGCATTAACATCTTCTGAGTTTATTAAACAGATTTCTGGGCCCATCCCCAGTCTCCCATTTGACAGATCTGGGGTGGAGTCAATTTACATTGTAATGAGCTCCTAGCAAAGGTTGAATGGCTGACCTTGACCAGAACTTCCCCTCTCTGGCTAGGTGAATATTTCCTTGTTCTATCTCCAAGGCCTTATACAGTGCTTACTGTATAGGAACTCTTTAATAATAAATTTTTTTAATGAACCTCCTGTATCCATAAACATTTCATGGGAAGAAATTCTTCTACAAGCTGTTACCCTACAAGCTCATTGTGTTTTGCCCTTAGCCACTTTCATTTTAGCTTAAGCCATTACATACTTTCACTAGAGAATCGCGCTCGACTTTATTGTTAGTTTCCAGAATATTTGCTGAAGGAAGTTGTCATTGCAGTATTTGTAGATTAAAAAAAAAAAAGTCAAGAGTAGGGAATAACTGCCTGTCTGAAAATTGTTTCAGAGATAGGAGGTCAGGGGGCAATTTCAGATTAGTCCATGGTTGACCTCTGTGGAAAAGAAATCTGCACAGCTTCCCAAGTTTTAGAATTCTATGCCTGGAAGGTTTTTAATGTATCAATTCTCTGCTGATCAACCTACAGTTGTTTATTTTACTGTTGTTACAATTATTATTTTTCACTAAGGACAAGACAATGAGAAAAATCTCCTACTTGCCATCTGACCTCCTGAAACTGGTCCCACCCTATGGAATCTTAAGTAT